TACTTTACAAAGACTCTTTTATGTAATACTATTTCTTAGAGTTGAGTTTTTCCCACGTTATCAGCACAATAAATACACCCTCTTTCTTTTTAATGGAAAAAGAGTATCTGCCTTGGTCTTCAATGTTTCTTAGAGACATAAAAACATCCAAATGAGAGAGAAATAAAACACTGAGATACAGGTGGACTCTTTAAACTGTCTTAGATACAAATGTTTTCTGTCCATTTAATATGTTGATTTCTTTCCAGATAAAAATTTAAAACTCTTCTGGCATCTAATGCGGAAAGGAGTTTCAGGATTTGGCAAAGGAAGGAAGATCATTAATTTAGAAAGAAAGAAATCACTAAGTTCTCAGGACAACCTCATTTGTTTAGACTATACAAACACTGCCTAGCATGTAATTCACTGGTTCTCTAGCAAAGCAAATACTACTTTATGAAGGCTGCCATTTTCCAAGGACAAGACAAGACACTGAGGCACAACATTAGCAGCTTCCATCAGAGCTGCAAGACCAGATAGGCTACAGAGCTGACATACATAACCACAGGACAAAACAAGCAAGAAAATCAGCCAGAAATAGCTTGCGGAAGGTATATAAAACTGTATGTATAATGAGAACAAAGAGAAATCACGTGAAATGGAATAAATCTCTAGTTGTCCATAATAAAGTCAAGATTAGCTCCTTTTTAAAAAGTCTCCAACTCTTATAACTCTAAGGCATCGATTTATTGTTCTGTTTGGAGCCTCAGCATAGAATATTCAAGTTTCCTGCTCTTTTCCATTTTCAATAAAATGTTAAATTATGATACATTTTCTAGAGTCACCTAAATGAACCTATGCTGCCACATACTGCAGAAATGAATGTATTATTTCTTCAATGAGATAACTACATAAGATACTGCAATTTCTTGAAAGAGCAGATAAAGGACACACTAGAACTTCAGGACTTTCATGACGCCCTACATAAACGGGCATCTCCTCAGTCTTCTCCACTATTAGTTCCTTCATATGGCGTTCTTTCACATGGGGACCCATCCCTTGAATTCTCTTGTTTTGGGGGCAGGAAAGCTGATTCTTTAACCAAAGCAAAATTCCCTGCAAAACATTTCATACTCGTTACATGCATTCCTTGGCTGACAACCCTTAACCTACCCTGGTACTAAGATAGGACAATAAGCTGTCATCTACCAGGAAGGAGGAGAAAAGGGGAGCACTTCAACTGTTAGGCACATGGCGTGAGTACAACACTGACTAATTACTGCTGGCATATAAGGACAGGTTGAGAGAGCCAGAGCTGTTTAGCCTGAAGAAGAGATGGCTCAGGGGGATCTTATAATTGTGTACAAATATCTGATGGGAGAGAGTAAAGATATCTCACAAGCATGTTGGCTGCAATTCCAAAAGCAATCTCTGAGCATCCTTCACCATCCTATTTCTTCACTTTAGCTGGCAACCTCGCTTAACCTCTCTGCCCTCTTTATAATGTTTTTCAATTCCACATTTTAAGGCTCTCAGTCCTCCTCTTTTTAGGGCTCAATAGCTTGTCAAAACCTCAATCGTTTCATAACGCTAAAAATTAAATTCAAACCTTCTTGTTCTTTTTACCTTTCAACCATACAGAAAGAAGGAACACTCATGGCTTATCTAGTTCAATCTCATACATAATATGGCAAAGACCAAAAATTTTGATCCCTAAATCAAACTTAACATCAACAAGCAAGCAGCACAAGAAGAAAAATCCAAGTTTCTTGAGCTTCCTCTTGTGCTGCAGACAGCTGGTAACACTGTCTCACAAATGAATTACATGCGCTGTTAAAAATGTTCACATTGCTTATAATGTGTTTAATGTCCCCTCAATGTTTCCTCATAGACCCGACACTCATATCTGTTTACTGCCCCCATGCTGCTAGCTGATCTAACCATGAAGCTTTTCTACAAGAATTAAAATAAAAAAATCACCTTACATACAGACTGATCAATCATTCCCAGACAGTCCCTAACTCTTGAGCTAAGACTGAGCTCTTTAATCTTTTCTATCAAGTCAGACTTTCCAAACATGTTTATTCTTAACTGAAACCTTTCCAATTTTCTTTAAAAGCAAACATCATATTGCAAAAATATCTCAGTAATATCAGGGACAAATTTCAGTTTACCATATGAATCAACTTGCCCATGGTATCTGACTGAATCAGCCCTGACCAAAACATTAAGAGTTGTCTGTAAACTATATGTTTTGTATTTTCTTTCAAACCTGTGACGGACTAGAAATACAGACCATCTGAAATGGGATCTCTGAAGCACTCCAGAAACACACTTTCACTAACCCATTATAAGGACCATCATCGCATAGTTTGAGTACAATGTAAACTAATTTCTTCTGCCATTGTGATTCCCCTTTTACTCTCCATGCTCTGTCAATAACCATCTCAGTGCCCTGTCTTTTCTTTCAACACGCACTTTGATGCTTTCCTCCCCTTCTACTATTTGCACTTGAAACTTACTGGACTCTTTTCCCAGTCCCCTTCCCTCACAATATTCAAACCTTTATTAAAATGTTACTCCTCCCATCATAGCCTGAAGGAAAGGGAATAAACAGGCAAAGAATCTCAGGAATCCAAATAATTTGCTTTCACAGCATATGTCTTTAAACTGGCAGTATACCAAACAAATACCAACTAATGCTGCTTCTCTGCTTCCCTATGCTATTGACCCTCAATCGCCATGCCACATCAGAGAAAACTCAGAGAACACGATCCTTTGATTGGAATGATGTCTCTCTTTATTGCAGAATGTTTTGGACCATTTATGCCTCTTCCTCCTCCCCAAACATTACAAATAAATAACCAAGATTGCATTACGACAGTCCCATTTTAACAGCCAAACCTACCCTGGGTCCCATCTAATCTCGTTTGTGTTGAAACTAATAAAAATCTTTACCATTGAATTCAATCAAATCAGTTTTAGACTCCTTCTGGTCTAAATAGTTTCTTACTAAGAATATTTCCATAGGTCTAAAATGAATGTGGAACAAAAGAATAACGTTGCATTACTTTTACACTCAGGTTATGCTGCAGCATTTAGCAGAAGTATAACACTAATACTTATCCGTTGATAGCTACAACAAAGGTACTTTTGAACTCCATTGAAAACAAAGGGAAACCACATTCCCTGAACAATTTTCTTAGTTCTATGGTCCTGAAAGTAGATTTTGTTTAATAACGGTTTGTTTACTAGCAAAAACAACATATACGGAAGGATTTTTTGAAAACTATACCTTCAATATATAAGCTCATTCTTCCTTCACAGCCAATATTTTATAGTCAAGGATATGCAGAGTCACACAGATATTTTTAGCTTCTCTTTCATAACTTTGTTTTCAAAGAAAACTTTCGTGAAAAAGGCTCCACATACTCAAGTTCAACTTTTTTAATGGTGGATTCCACATCTGCAAAACAGATTTTGTAAAGCTTTTGTATTTGCCAAGAGCAATTCAAAGCAACTTAGAAAAGAGGGGAATGTTCTTTTGGAAAGGTAACGTGGCTATTTTCCTGACCACTGGGAAGTTAAATGATCCATATTTAAATAAACAACTCACTCAATTAGTGGGGTCACTTTTTCTTTCGCAAACGACTTCCCTCTTTTTTCTAATGCTCTAAGTTATGACTAAGACAAGATATCTAATAAAATTAACTTTTGACAATGCTGCTGTATTACACAAATT